CCCCCCCCCCCTCTTTCTTGCATACATTTAAATCAATATTCCATTTACATTTTAAATGTCTGATCAATTTTGACTTCATTTTGTGATATGTTATCCTGCTCATGATCAATTGATTTATTTTCAGAAAAAATTGGAGCATCTAAAGAGTCTTGATCTATTCAACTGTGAAGTAACAAATCTTAATGACTACAGAGAAAGTGTATTCAAGCTCCTTCCTCAGCTGACTTATCTGGATGGGTATGACAAAGATGATAAAGAAGCCCCAGACTCAGATGCAGAAGCTGACGGGGATGGTGTGGATGAGGAGGAAGATGATGAAGGTGTGTATTCTGAACATAACATTTTTTTTTTTTAAAGCTACAAGTGTGTTTCCTTGAGGCCATTTTTATAATCTGGTTGATTTTTACATAATTGTCTAAAGCTGGCCATACACTGTGAATTTCAGAAGCTTCTTGATGAAGCGTTTGAAATTTGCTTAGTGGGTGGCCCTGTTGGTAGCCTTCTGTCTGGCATCCTTTGATCCCAAAATTTTTTTTTAAAGGAGTTGGTCAGAAAACTGTTGGGCAAACAGTGATGGCAGTCAGTCGGTTGCCATCATTGTTTGGGTATTCTGACGGCGGCACATCGCAGAAAACTACCATACCCAAAATTGACCATACTTGACGCTTTAAAAGCTTTTACAGCTCATCAGTTTAGTGTTATCAGTGATTGATGGCCCTAAAATTATTGCTCTCACTGCGACGTTCACGACAATATGTAACATGTGCGGCATAATGGGCGCAATCGTCGTGTTCGCAGGTCTGCGCACCCGTTGCATGTTTGCATGTATGGGTGGGGGCTTTAAAAAAAAAATTTGTTTTTTTTAATTCTTTTTTGTGTAACTTTAATATATATTTTTTGGGGGAAACGTAATTTTTTTTTTTCCTATTTTTTTCCACTTAACTTTATTGCTATCACATAAAGGGCTAAGAAACCCCCCTATGTGATAGATGTGACAGGTCCTGAGCCCGGGACCAGCGTGACAACGGGAGGGTGGGGGGGGGGGCACGGGCCGACAGCTCATACAAGCGATCCACCGGCTCTATGTTAACAGGCATCAGTGCCTGTTTTTAAATTGACGGTGTTTCCAGCTCATGTGCGTCCACAGTGGGCGTGGCTGAGCGGACGTCTAAAGACGCCCACTCAGATCTAGAGTGCGGCCGGCCGGGAGGTAGTTAACACACCTATAGTGTTAAGACATTCAGCAGGCATTTTCAAGGCTTAATGGCTCAAGGCGTCAAAATTGCTTGCAAAATGTCCTGCAAGTAGGAGAGTGTGTTAGGGTAAAGTGATGTAGTAAAGGGAAGTGACTAGCAGTGACCACACTTCTATTTATTTTTATTTTTTTAAGGAGTCGCAGTAGCTGGGCAGACTATGGTCATACATTTCTGGATGTTGCTCAACTGTTTAAATTAGCCGTGCAACATTTATTTCAGACATGACCAGTTCTGGCTGGTCATGTCTGAAATACACAAAAACACAGGTGTGAAAGAGGCCTCAAAGGCCAAACAATGTTGCAATTTTTTATTTGACAGCCAAACAATATATCCATCTAGTAATGCAGTAAGTAACACAATGCAGTGCTGTTTATTAATATGATATGCACTTCTTCAGAAAAAAAATCCCAATCCTTAATTTCTGGAGACGGCAACCCGCAGATGTAGCAGTGCCGTCCATCCGTTTTTTTACTACGGGCGGACGGCAAGAGGTTAATACATGCTATGCCACTTTGTTTTCCAGAAGGTGAAGATGAAGACGATGATGAGGATGAAGGTGAGGAGGAAGAAGATATAGATGAGGATGAAGATGAGGATGAAGAGGAAGAAGTAGGAGAGGATGAGGATGAAGACGCAAGCGGAGATGTAATTTTCGCTTTTATGCTTTTCAAATAACTTGTCTTGATACTGGCTGTTTATCTAGAATGTGAACCTAAATTAGCACCAGTTTATTGTACCAGTCTCAAAACTCAACTCCAGCTGAAAATGTTTTGGATAGAATAGGGAAGTTGAACATAAACGGCTATAAAAAAAAAAACCATACAGTGGCTCCTTTCAATCGAGCGTGTCGGGAAAGGATACGTTAACATATCTTCTAATCGCAGCATTACGGAGCGGATTTCACCGCTGTGACAAAAAACTGAAACTGCCTGACCCCATGTGTGTCATATGCGGCAACTGATGTAAATGGGCATTAGTTGGCTTACATCAGATTGCATCCGCACTGTCTAAACGGATCTCTGATCCCTTTGTTTTTCCGGACCTAACCGGGCCAGAGGTCATTGATGCTTAGGTGCCCAGGCCAAATTTAACAGTATCCACATGCATCAGTTATCTTGAAATAAACTCTGCAACTAAAAGGAGCATTAAAAGCAACCACTGAAGTAAATCTGTATGTTTTTAAAACCTTGTTCATGAGAGTGCCTTAAGTTATTTTCAAATCTATCTTGAGGACATCAATGCATTTTCTTTTAAAGCAGCAAAAAAAAAAAAAATCATCCAAACTATTGGTCATTGGTTGGCATATTCCTTATTGTGTTTTAGTGCCATTCTGGCTACCTCAGTTTCCAAGAGGAATCATTGCATCCAGGAAACAGCACAAAATACTTTTGATTTTATCATTGTGATTTATATTGGTTCTATGCATTAGTTCCAAGAAGTGCCTAATTGAACCTTGGGCCGTGGCCAAGGTTTATTCATGGGGTGTTGCCAGTTTAATGGGATCATTCATAAAGGGTCATAAGGCTCCAGGTACATGGGCATCTGCATTTAGAGTTTAAATTGACTTACTTGGAACTGCACTAAAGGGCAGATTTCTGGCATCTCCTCCTGGGTCCCCAGGCAAACACCCATTCTGCTATTGTACTCCACTACTAATTACTTGTCCTGTATATTTTATTTATTCAGCCAAACGATAATAATCCAGGCTTGTTTGTTTTTTTTCATTGATGTCTACATGTATGTTAAAACTGAAGCCAAAAGGGTACTAATCATAACTTTTTTCTTTCAGGAGGATGATTTGGGACCTGAGGAAGTAGAAGATGAGGAAGAAGATGAAGATGAGGACGATGATGAAGGTTAGCCTAATTCATAATTAGAAATTTTCTTATACCAGTGTAGGCTTCTTTCAAACATGGTAAACAGAGTTTACATTTCATCAATATCACATTGTCTACACTGTAAATGCAACCATTTTCTCTGCAACACTGACATTCCTGTAATGGATTATGATTCCTTTCCTAAGCAATAAGTCAGATTGAGCAGTTTGACTGGATTTCTTACAACAGCTGACAAAGCAGGCTTTCTAATAAGCTCAGTTAAATAACATGTACAATGACTTAGAGCAGTGGTTTTTAAAAAGGAAAAAAAAAATACTTGTTAGCCATCCTGGCTTGAGGCCTTGGCATGTGAAAAATGCCAGCTCTGCTATTCTGCTGTGACCGCTTCCTTTTTGCAAACCAATTATAACATACTGGCACCTTTAACACAACTGTGCTAGTTCATTGGCTACGCATATGCGAGAAAAAACTTATAGCACTCCCTAAGTTTTCATGTTATGGACATACAATTTGGTAAGAAATACAGCAGGTTCTCATTATTTTTGGTACTTTAAATGCAGCTATAGACATTGAAGATCACATTGTCTGATTGAATAGGACTGATGTTGCAGTCTGATCATTTGTTGTTTGACCTGTTAGCTGTATTTCTCTCACACCAAAGTGAACTGCAGTCATCATGTCTAACTTCATTGTATCATATGTGGCCGGAACGATCGCATAATGTTTTGCCTTTAGTCTAGTCTAAATATATTTTCTTCTCCCTTTTTTTTTTTTACCAAAGGGTTTTAGTACAAAAACTCGGTTGAGCGGACGTCTAGAGACGCCCGCTCAGATCTAGAGAGCTCCGGGCCGGCCGTTTTTCTACTTCGGCCGGCCCGGAGGCAGTTAAAGTATATAATAAATATATGTTCCCTATAAATTATTAGCTTGTTTGTTCAATAGAATGCTGCACAGTTAGAACCTCAGACAGGTTTTATCACTATATTCTCCTCGGTAAAAATCGTCCCAAGGGCAATAATGTCTGTCCGTTTCTTTTCCTTATCCACTTTTTATGAAATTTGTGTTTTACTGCCTTATGTGTTCCATATGACGGATTGCACCTGTTTCCCAGTGACTGTGCTGGAAGTGAGTGAATACTCCCAGCAGGGATACAAACGGCAATAAAAATGCTAACATGTATGAGAGGTTATAACCCCTTTTCACCCCGTCCAGAACAAATATTGGCTGGAGTTCCACTACAAAGTGACTGCCACTGTGGACCACTTTGAAAACATTAGTTGGCTGAGTGTCTTTGGTTTCATACCTTGTGATAATTACTTGGTAGAGCAAGTGAAGTCCAAACAACTGATCTGTGTACTGGTCAATGAAGCCATTGTCTATGCATAAAAACCATATGTTTCCAGTAGCTAGAGTTAACAAGGCAGTTTTGGGCTATATTAGAAAACACAATTTGCTCTGCAAACTAAATATCATTTAAGCACCTGACATTAAAGGAGAACTATGAGGTGGGTGCTTTTCACTCATCCTCATAGTTCTAGCCGACCTGTGACAATGAAACTGTCGCAGATCGGCTCAGTAGATCGGGAAGTGAGGCGAACACGTACCGGCGTTCGCTCACTTCTCGATCCTGTCACGGCTCTCTGCCGTGACAGGGGAGGGACTGGATTCCCCCCTCCCCGCTCAGATCCTCCAGTGCTGACTGTCAGAACGGACGGGGGAGGGGGCGGATACAGCTGGCTCTGCTTCTAGATAGGCAGAGCTAGCTGTCACTCACGCATCTTGTCGGGATCCGCTTCAGCTGCGGTGTCTCCGTATACCACGAGCTGTAGCTCGCGGTATACTGAGCTTAGGGTAACCGGAGGACGCTAGTTTGTGTCCTCCCGTTACCTTAAGGAGAACTATGGGGAAAAGCCCGAACCCCATAGTTCTCCTTTTTAAGTGTTTTATAAAATTAGAAGAAAAAAATCTACACATCGTAAGAAAAAAATCTATAAGACATTATACATATGTAAACATTAATAAATTTTTCTAAAACTGACCTCAAACCACTCTGGTTTTCCAGAATAAAAATAGGATTGAATGTAGAAAACCAATGCAAAGAATTAATGTTATGTACAAATGTATTAGGATATTTTATCAAAACTAGAAAACAATTTGTAAATGGGTGCAGGAGACTAGTCATCTTGTGTGTGAAGTATACTGTTCTGTACATAGTCCGCTCAATAATGTTAAGGACATGTTATCAGGTAGAGGTATTCCACTGTGCCAGTCATTAGGAATTCAATATGGCACCAATCCATGACTTTATTGAGAAGCTACTGTGTATTTTGGATACAATACTGTACATTGTGTATTGTATGTCCTCATGTAAAAATGTAATCGTATAAAAAAATTTAGATTTTTTTTTTTCTTCATATTCTCAGATTTGCATATTGTCACTCTAGAGCAAATCTATATATCAGGGAGGATGGTGACCGCTGCGATGCAACCAGTCATATAAAGAGGTTTTTTTAGCGTCAGTTAAGCCTGCAGTTTAGTTGACGCTTGAAATTCTATCATACCCATTATACATCATTAGATACTTAGTTTGTGTTGTCCAAATCTCAATTCATAACCTCAGTGCACCAAGACAGAAATAATCAACTGATTCATGATCTAATTTTATGGGTTTAAGTACTGTGCTCACATTCGTGGCACGCAGGGGGTGTGGTGGATTGGGTTATGGAAAATACTCTTTGCTTTAATTGGCATAAAACCATATGAATGGCTTTCTGTGTGGGATGCTTGCTTAAGAATAAAACCTTTTTTTTTTTCCCAGAAGAAGAAACTGGAAAAGGAGAGAAGAGGAAGAGAGACACAGACGATGAGGGTGATGAAGAGGAAGACTAAATTAATTCGGGAAATTTGAAAGAAAAAAATAAATTAATTAAAAAAAAGGACCTTATTGGTAAAAAGGAAAAAAAAAAAAAAAACTTTGTAAATAAAATCTTAACATTTTTGGGTCTGTTTTTCATGCTTTGCTTTTTTTTTTTCCTAACAGTTCCAATATTTTTTTACAGTAGGATGTTTTTTCGACAACTGCAGATGAACTATTTTTAAGAACATGAGTGAAATAAACATGTTACTATTTGGTAAATCCTAGTTGTATGTTTACATTTCTGAACGAGAAGTAAATAATTCTTAAACATGTAGTCCTATTTTTTAAGCATGTGTTTTGAACACTTTTTTTTCTTCTATGGTAAAGTTCCAGTTAACATATTTTTATAGATAAATCGTAGTTATTTTCATTAAAAAGACAACGCATTAAAAAAGTCTTTATGATCCATGTCCAATAATAGAAGTCATTTGGGAACAAAGGCTTCAGAGAGCTCTGGTACATGCACTTGCCTACTCCAGAAGCATTTTAGTATGGCGCCGAACAATCAGTTTTCAACTTTTGGTAATAGAACAAGGGCATACACTAGACCTGAATAATTATCCTTGGGGTTGTCGCCCTATTTACTACATACATAATTCTAAAAGCGTATCTAAACCCAGGAACAAATATTTAGTATATTGCAGCCTACCAGTCCTTAGATGCACAAAGAACCTTTTCTTGTGTATCGTGTTAACTGCTAGTTCCATCAAACCACCATGTAATAGAGGTAACAAAGGCAGACTTGTTTTTAACCTGTATGACATCTATGGCTGCCCCCATAGACACACCTGTGCAATTTAAAGCCACCCAGGGACAGGAAGTATGTTATTCACAGGATTTCCAGGTGAAAAAGAGGGAAGGAAACTAAAAACGAAATCTAATGCAGCCCCATCATCTAAGGACCAGGAAGGCTGAAATATTTTATTTTGCTTTTGGGTTTAGATGCACTTTAAACAGAAAATACTAAAATTACTTTTATTGATCGTACATCATGAGATACAGGGAGCTAATTCTGAAACCAATGAGTTATGCAGTAATCTTCAAGTGATTGGGCACTAGCAATTCAAAGCTGTAAGGATAGCCCTGTGTAACCCCTCAGTCTGCCTCATTATTTTGCTAGTGCCCTTTGGTGATGGAAACATTCTCTCTGCTCACTGAGAGACTAATGGCGTCGCAGCATTAGGTGATTGTGACAACTGTGTCTTTAAATTTGGTGCCATTTTTCTGCCTCCCTTGTAGTCTAGGGGAAAACACTGTGCTTGCACAGCCTCCCTTTTTGGTGCTGTATTGAGCCTGCCATTTTTCCTTCTGGTGTGCACATGCTTCTGCTGCTGTGAATCTGCACAGACACAGCATAGGGAGGAAATCTGCACCATACTGGGTCACTGCTTGCCTGTAAGTGTCTGTACATAGGCGACCTTCTGGTAGTTCGTGAGTACCTTTGGGGCTTGCCCTTAAAAAATGGCAGATCATAGATGTGGGTGGCAAGCTCTATGGCTACAGAACCTGACAATGGTTCCGGGGAATGCTCTTTCCCCTTTCTGCCTTTGCACTTCCTGCGGAAAAAGCAGGTTCCTCCAGTTCTGTGGACTCGGCCCAGAAAGAGTGCCTGCCCTGTGACATCTCTCCTAAGCTCATGTCAGAATACCCAACCAGAGCGGGCAGCTCATTGGCTGCCAGCTCTGATCGATCAAAGATTTTCCGACCAGCTCCTTAGATCAGCTGATCGAGGGATGCTGATCAAAAGGGTGCCGAGAGCGGCACACACTGCGAATTTCAACCAGTTCCACAAAAGCCGGCCGTAATTCGAACAGTGTATGGGCAGCGTTCGGGTCCCTGTTTTTTTAGAACCATGTGGACGAGGTTTAAAGCCCTCCTTTTAAAGCTTGGCTTCGCCAGCCCAGCTATTCACCCCAATGTTATGACTGTCTATAGCTAGAGACCCTGGGTCCATCTTGACAGGCCCTGTCGTTCTCAAATGTCTATATCCTTTCCCCGTAGCCCTGCATGTTCATGTTAATGGCTTGGCATCTATCCTTAAAATTTTCTGTAGGAGTCTTCCGTCAGTTCACATTCAACAGATCCTGTGGCTTACATGATGGTCTGCGGAGCTTCCATGCAAGGAGCACCTAGAGCACATGCCATTTGCCCTTTTAGGAAAATCCTTAGATACTTACACCGAGGAAGTCACAGGGGCAGAGAGTACCTTCTTACCTCCAGAAGACAACAAAACCTCTGAAATCTTCTACCCCCCTCCATTTAGAAAAGTTTTCTTTTGTCCTACCCGGGTACCAAGCCCAAGTTAGGCACTCAAACCCATTGTAAGTCTTGGCCCTGTAAGCCTGCAAAATTTCAAGTAGAAGCCCTCTTTACAATAAAGGGGCACCCTTCTTTCTCAGGTGGAGGACATTTGTCAGCCTCTGGGTTAGGGATGTTGTAACCAAAGGGTTTCAAACTGGAATTTCGCTTCCTTACCTTCTCGCTTCCTGTTGTCAAACTTGCCAAGATCACTTAAGGCCTGGTTCACACCTGAACGTTCTGTAGCGCATTCAACGCTCGACGAACGCTCTACAAAACGCTCAAACATCTAAATCCCATTGTATTAAATGGGTCTGGTTCACACCCTGCCGTATTTCCGCCCGTCCGAACGCGATACAAAACGGCCTACGCCCAAAGAAGTACATGTACTTCTTTGGGGGGTTTTGGTCTTGCGTTTCCATTGGGATACAGCCAAGTAGCCCTCAGAAACGGGTGTTTGTTGCGTGTTTTTTTTTACCGTGAATCGCATACGCGCATATTCAATACGCCTAGGTGTGAACCCAGCCTTAAAGATGGAAAGATCTCTTTGCTGTCCTAGATCAGCTCTTTTCTCAGAAGGTAATAGTTCCCATTCTAGAAGCAGGACGATTTCAGGGGTTTTAGCCCAACATGTTCATGGTTTCCAATGCAAAAGGGAGGCTTGTCTTATACTCTATTGGAAAATTCTCAAGTTCCTGTGGGCCCAAAAGTTCCATATAGAACCTACCCAATTGGTCATCTCCTCCCTGCACTTGGGTGATTTCCTGGCCTCAGTGGACATTAAAGAGGCATATTTGCACAACCTAATTTTTCCAGCTCACCAGTGCTACCTCTGCTATGTTGTGGACATGTGACACTACCAATTTGTTGCCTTTCCATTTGGCTCGTCCGCTGCACCAGTCTTCACCAAAGTGCTGGTCCCTTTTTGACTCTGCTTCAGTCTCAAGGGATTCCCATAGTGGAGTACTTAGATGACCTCAGAGAGTCCGTTGGCATCAGCCAACATTTACTGGACGATGCAAACCCTGCAGAGCTTCAGATTGGTCCTGAATCTCCAGAAGTCAACATTGAAACTTTTTCAACCCTCATAATTTGCACTAACTGGGCCAAGTACTGGACATGGCCCTGTTCAGGATCTCCCTTTCCCCAGGAAAGATCCAGTCTTCCCACTTCCTTGCTTTGTCCTTGTGGTCCAGGAGTGGCATAAACCATTTGATTTTGGTTGAAAGTTCTAGACTTAATGGTGAGCTCCTTTTGAGGAAGTTCCGTATGCTCCATTTCACTCCATGCTGCTACAGCTCAACTTTTTGGTTGTGTGGATCAAACAGATTCAGTTACTGGACCTTCCCATTCATCTGTCCAGGAAGACCAGGCTTGCCCTGGTGAGGTGGATCTCCAACCCAGTGCTGCAATCAAGGAAGTCCTTTCAACGTCTTGGAAGTGCTCATGATGAATACGAGCCTGTTGGGAAGAGGGGATTGTGAGAAGTAATGGAAAGCCTCTCGGTTTAAGGGAACTAGTCATTGGAGGAACCTCTATTTCCCAATCAACAATCGATAAGGATTCAGTTGGACAAGGCTGTGGCTTACATCAACCATCAGGGAGACACAAGCAGTCCTGCAGCTCAAAGAGGTGGACCTGACACTGGCTTGGTGCTTTCACATCCTGGCCCTGTCCGCCATACACATTTCAGGAGTGGGAAATTGGCAAATGGACTTCAAAGTCATCAACAATTCGGACTCTGGCGTATGGTCCCTTTACCTGAATGTGTTTGGAGCCCTTTGTTGCCGGTGGGAAATGCCAGACATGGACCTCCTAGCATCCAGGTTCCTTAATAAACTGGACAAGTTTGTCACCAGGACAAGGAATCCTTAAATCTTTGCATTGGATGCCTTGGTAACTCAATTGGATCAGGTTAGCTTGATCTATGCCTTCTCTCCTCTGAAACTCTTGCATTGCTTCCTTAGTTCGATTTTAAAAGGACATTCTGGTGATCCCTATTGCTTCCAACTGGCCCAGGTGTTCGTGGTACATGAATGTAGTCAAATTCCTGGCAGACACTCCATATGCACTACTGGATTTTCCAGAGCTCCTGCCCCAAGGAGCAGTATTCCTGCTGCTCAGTCATTGGCTGTTACAGCCTGCCTGTTGAAGCTCAGGCCCTGAAGGTCAGAGGCCGTCAACCCTACTTTTCTGAAAGCTAGGGAATCCGCCTTCTGCAAGTTCTACCATCGCACCTGAAAGGCTTATTTTGCTCGATTGTAAAGTGAGGGAGTTCCACTACAGAAAATACTCCATGGGACATACCTTTTCTTCAGTTTGGCCTAGATCAGCATTTTACCTTGTGTAACCATCAAGGCTCAAATTTCTGCTTTGGTGATTCTCTTACAGAAACTGATTGTCTCTCACTTCCTAGTGAAGGCCTTTGTGCAGGGGAGTTGCTCACATTGTTCCCCCTTGTATGCACTCGGCTTGAACCAACCACAGCTTGGTTCTGATGTCTCTTTAGAAGCTGCCCTTTGAAACCTCTTAAGGTCCCCACACACCTTACGATAATCGCGGGAAATCCCACGATCATACGATTATCGTAAGGTGTGTGGAAGCCGTGCGACCTCTACTACTGTAAGGTCGCACGACTTTAAACTTACGAACATGTTTCAAAACCCGCCGAGCATCGTACGATGTGCGGCGGGTGTG